TCTGGCTGGTCCCTGTGGCAGCCCAAGCCTGAGCCAGATGTACCACAGCCCCGTCTGCCATGCAGCCCAGGTTCAACCCCAGCGCCACCAGCGCTGAGCAAGCAAGGGGACGCTGCCAAAAACAAGCTGCAACCAAATAAATAAGGGCAAACACAATACAGAGACACAGAGCTGGAAGAATTAACGTCATACAGACAATCTCATTGCTGACACCTCCTAATGATGAAAGCTTGAATGTGCCATCTCAGTAAAACACTCTACATGAGGTTTGTGTGCAGTACAGCAAGAGTTTCTGGAAGAAATATAAATATAGGTCCGCATTCTGCAAACAGTTTCACAAAGCCAAACTCTTGCATTCAGGTGCCATCTCACTGACTTTTCTGCAAAATCAAGGCCATTTGTTTTAAAAGCAGACAAGAACATCTGTTCAAACTGATGCATTGTAACTGCATTCCTTAATTACCCAGACAACTCTCCTTATATCATGGAAATAGGGTTTGAGAACTGGCAGATAAGCGCTCTTGTATTTAACAGGGAGAAACAAGTATTTGCATCGTATCTGTGGCATGAGTGGGACGGATGGTCTATGAGAAGGTGGTCTCAAAGGGCTCCCATTCATCTCTTACAAATAGGAGTTAAGAGGATTTACAGATTTACAATGAAAGCACTCACCCGCTTGATAATGTTGCAGCATTTCAGTAATTCTTCAGTCTTGGCTCATGGAGAAAGGACAAAGCCAATCAACCTCCATCCGAATAAGCGTGTTAAGTAGAGTTTATCTAGACTGTGCTGTTCCTTCATCACTGTCCCCAGGGATTTACAGCCCAGCACACCAAGGCAACGGTTTCAAGGCAAGCAGAAAGATCTATGGAGGAAACCCACGAAGCAGACATCGGACACAACCACCTCACCTTTCACAGAAGGGTAGCTTTTCCGTGATCTTCCCCAGACTATGCAGTCCTTTCCTGTGGGACCTCAGAGGTCATTTTCCACATACAGAGAGAGCTGGTATGCCAGCATCACCCTAGAGAATGGTTTCAGTTCATTAACTGCTGCTAGGAAAAGGATTATCCTTTCACTAAGAAACTTGACTGGCTACAAAGGAGGAACCGAAGGAAAAGTTAACATACCCCTTAACTCCTTTCTTCAGGACACATCCACTGTTCCCTTTCCTCACCCACAAAGCAGGAGCAACACCAGAACTTCAACATATATATACTTCAGTACATAAGTGTACTGGGAGTGCAAGGTCTGGTTAAAGCACGGTGGTGAGCACAGGGACTCGGTGGTTCTTTCGTTCCTGTGGGAAAGGGGAGCCATCCCTCCTGCAGAAGGCCAAGGCTCCATGCAGTCTGCAAAAGGCACTCGACAAACATTTTTGCTTTGAGAGACTCAAGTGCTTGGTTAATGATTCACTCTAAACAACCAGGCAGGGAATTAAGGTAAGGAGTAAGAGAGCTTGTTCCCCTTCTGTGTATTGGCCACACTAAGGAGAAACAACTCAATGGGGAGCCAGTGCAAGAGAGAAACTTCACACCCTAAAGTGCTGCATTAAAGTCTTCCCATGAGCATGAACCAGGTTATGTATCATAACAGTAGGTATGGCTGGACCTAGGGAATCAACCCCCCAGCAACACGTGGACCTTGTGTTATATTTTTCATTAGCAAAACCCAAATCCTTTACACAGTTATTGCTTCCAAAATGGGGAAACTGAGGCATAGAAAGCACATTTGGCTGACTTCCTGATGGGCAACTGAAGAGCCACAGGCACAGCTCAGACATCCCCCAGCCCCATGCTTGGAGCGTCTGCAAAATCCTTCTTTCCTCTTATGCCTCTGAAAACTGTCTGCACTGCTAAGGTAACATGGCTAGCCATTTTGCAGAGGATTTCAAGAAAATGACAAGCTTCTTGTTTACATGTTTTTGCCCATGAGACAACTTCGATATGTCTTGTGAAACACATGCTTTCACAGAAATCCGAGGAAGAAAACCACATAACCAAGAACAGTAAAATATCTCTCTGTTTGGAGCAGACAGCTTTAACAAGACTGTTTTAATGGGAAGAGGATTTGGTAGATATTTTAAAATGTTGGCAGCATTTTTTGCTAGACAGAATTTTATGGTATCATTCATTGTATAGATTGCTAATCTGCAAAAAAACCCATAATTTCAGACCCAGCAAAGACCATATTAACAGCACGGAAGTCCTCTGATTTCCATATGCATTTTACGAGACAGTGGCACAAGGTCAGGCCACTTCTTAGTCTAAGGTCTCCCCGGTACTTAATTCCTCCAGGTGACACACACCGTGCCACTTGGCTGTTTGAAGGACAACTTGAGCTATTACAGTACTTCCACAAAGGACTGCACTGAATGACCATGCTCTCCTTCCCTTTTAGGAGCTGCATAAGAAAATAAGTGATTCCATGTTCAATAACTAAAATTAAGATTCCCTCTGCCTGTAGCCTCCTGCAAGAATGTGGCTAATCTGCTTGAGAAACCACATCCTGCTCTGCATCGTATGTGGATGGCACTCTATCAAAAGAGAGAGCCCAAGTTCGACAATTTTCTGGGACTGCTGCTGATCTCTTGAGAGTCCACAAAAAATACTTTTTTGCAGTCCCAACAACTGGGTCAGATCTGATGAGCTATCAAATTTCTTGTCACCCAGGAAAATGTATTGGACTGGCTTTTTAACCAAAGCAGATGCAGGGGTGCGCTTATGGACCAATTATACTCATCATCCCCTAGGAAAAAAATATATCTCTTTCCCACTCATAGCTTCTGTCCAGAGGGACAACTGGTATCCATGTTTTCCGGGGACTTTGTGTATCCAGCAGTGGTTAGAACCACCATGCACTAAATCCACTCAGGTTTACGAGCAAAATGGAAAGACAAAGAAAACACATACCCTGCCTCCACTGAGGATATTATAACACTTTTGGAAAGTCTTATTCTGCACACTGTTCAGGGCTGCACAGTGGATTCACATTAAGTCTGATCCTCCTGGAAAACAGGTCCTACCAAGTACGTACAATTCACATACATACTGTCAAAGACCTCCCAAAGCATCAGATAACCCAGGTAGCCTTGGGCCACGTTTCCAGCTTAGGCAAAGGAGATTTGACATTTCTTGGATAAAGTCCTATATTTGCAAATTCAAATAGATATTAGTACAGAGAATAGTAGCACTGCAGAGTCTGTTTTCAGACCTGACTGCCTGAGATACCTTCAAATAGCTCTTTGCCCACCTCCTACATGCCTCAGCACATCAGAAAATCAGACTGAAGTGCCCGAGTTCTGCCTTGGACTTCAGACCTAGTGCTTTGCCATCGAGCATCTCTCAGAGCACTAGCAGTTGGCCTCCAGAAAGGCCGACATGGACAGGCGGGCAGGATGGACAGTCATGTTGGCACCCCAGTGACAGATCGCTTGGGTCACATCACACTTCACTCAGAGGATGTCTCATGGGTGTTTTGTCTTGAAAGTGATCTTCATCCCACCTGATGGGGCCAGCAACAGACTGAGGGTCAGGCTCAGGTCCTAAGCCTGTGCAAACATCTGCTGGGGATCAGGCAAACGGGATTTTGCTGTAGAAAAGAAACCTGATTCCAAGGCCTGCCCTAGCTATCAGTAGGAGACAGCACCCTGGATGCACAGGCTGAGGCATCACGTCACAAGCAGCCTCAGTCAAATATGCCTATTTATGGAGGCAAGTTAAAGGTGCTATGACTCAGGTGCCTGAACAGGGATCTCTAATAATACCTTCCAACTACATGTAATATGTAAATATGCAACGTGGGCAGGAAATGTATGAAATAAGAAGGCATTTATTATAATTATTATAAAGGAACTTGAAAAATATTTAAGTGTTCTAATTTTATTTACAGCACAGCAATAACTGCTGGAAAGAGAGCTGCAAGTGGATAACCTCCTTTTTCCCAGCTTTCTTACCGGCCACTTCGGAACATGAGGTGACCTTCACTTTTCTGCCTCAGTTTCTTTACTTTTACAGCCACACTAGGCAATACTTAGCTGTTTAATAAACTGATTTGAGTTCTGCTGATGGAAGGGTATTTATAAAGCCTGGTGAGATTTACAGCAATATAATACAAGAGGATTTATATTGTGTCTTCTTTTGTCAAAGTGGACAAATTCCTGGAGTTCTCAGTTGGTGTTTATAGCAAATTAACCTATTAGGAAAAAGTGCTGGAGTGACAGCAGTGAGGAGCAGAGCAAAGAGGCAGAAGCAGCTTGTAGCTCTGCCCAAAGGGGGTGAGCAGCAAGGGAGGGAACAGTCCCCAGGCCGGTGCGTGCCCGCAGAAGAGGGCCCAGGGGGACTGGTGGCTCGTGCAATGGCCCGTGTATGAAGTGGGTACGTGTCTGCTGTGCTGTGGGGTGAGATCACCGCACGTGCCCATCGCTGGCTGAGCCGCAGCTCCTCGGGGACAGCCCGCTCCTCCCTCCCCAGCTTCAGAGCATGCAACGTAGGATATGCCTACGCGAGTTTGCTTCCTTCTAAAATGGCCACGACATAGCTGCCTGACCAGAAGGGGACTTCCTGATAACAGAGCAGAGGATATTCAGGAGAATTTTAGAACCGTCTCTTCTGAGAGGAGTTTGAACCTAAGGGATGTTTTTGGACAGTGACTCATGGTGCCCAGTGCACAGCTGGAGCAGGACTGCACGTACAATTACAGTTATTAAAGTCAGCCAGCTATAAACAACCACCGCTTCAAAGTGGGATCTGAGAAACCACAATTATTTCCCGTTCAAACTGTAGAAGAAAACTGTGGTATTTTTTGGTACTAGCATGCAACAGTGTTTGCAACAGCTGTACATGTTCAACTGAAAGGAAAATGATGTTTTCTGACAAATTTAGTTTCTGATATTAAAAGTCTGGTCAGTACAAGAAGATCCACTGGCCATGAGACGTAGGTGTTCCAGATGCAACTTTCAGTCCCACACTGTCAGGGCAGGCTTCGGACCAGCTGATGTAGTCATATGAAGTACCATTTAGCAAACCCTGGCATCATCTGTGCCCTCTTTCTAACTTAAGAGAGACCAAAACTCACCAATAGAACTGTAAATTTCTAAAGAACAAACTACATCCATAAAAGCTGGGAACAGCAAAGAATTTGATGAAAATAACTGTTGAAATAAAATCTCAAATGAAGCTGAGAGAACCTTTGACAGCAGCTCTGGCTTCAGACTCCCAAGACATAAAGACAAGCAAAGTGAAGCAGACAGTCTTGTGTTCAGCTCATTTCCAGGCATGCATCTGGGGAACTCCTTGGATGGGGCTGGCATGAAATCTTCATGGCAGGAATACCACCCAGAGGCTTTCCAGCAAGCATACCACAGAAGAAAGCTGTCCTGTACCTGCCCCAGGGATTCAGTGGAGTCCAGAGGAGACGTGAAAGGAGAGGGTTTAGAGCAAGGAGCAATCGCATCCAACGTCCCCGGGCCAGGTAAGCTGCGGCGCACCTTCTCCAGTCCATAACTGCTCCAACACTTTGGGGTTTAGCAGTTTTAAACAGTCAAACTAAGGTTGGGCAAGGATGAGTAGTCTGAAATAACAACTATGTGTGTATTATGCACTCCAGCTTCTTCTGATAGCAAAATGAATGATCTCTTTTGGAGCGCTTACTACTGCTTCTATTAGCTTAAAAACCTGACTAGATACCACAGCTACTGAACTGAGCCTTTTTCCTCCCATCAAATTTGTCCAGAATATGATTTTGCCTTGCTGGAATCACACACCTGACAGGCAAAGAAAACTTGAAGCTTTGAGAAAGTCTGTTCCAAGGCACCCACAGCGGGATTTCCCCAGAGTCTCTAATGAACACGGCGGTGTCAGGCTGACTTTGCTGGACCAATACATTCTCCACCCATTTGGCAGTCCCCAGCTGCTGTTAGGGTTTCTCAGAGAAGCTCAGGTGTGTGGGGATCTGAATTACCTCTGAATTTGGAAAAAAGCTGTTGTCAGCTAGTTTAACCAGCTAAATTCTGCTCTTTAAGGAATTGAGCCTGGAGATGATTATAATTTTTACGTGATGAATTCAGTATTTTCGGGTGTTCGTGACTCCAAAGAGAGACTTTAAAAATCTGCAAATAATGCAGATTGATTTAAAAAAATTTTTTCAACCTTCAATCTGGAAAAACACACTGTTGGGGCTTTGTGTACTTAGAAGTAATCAAGGTTAGATCACTCTGACTTCCTTCATTATAACAAAAAAGTTCAATGTAAAGATGAAAAATATTTGTGCTATTATCTCTACCTCTGATAACAAAAGGTTGTTTGATTAATTGATTTTTTCTTTAACTTTTGCAATACAAGACACCACAGTAGTATTCTCACTAGTTTCAATGTCTCATCACAGATTAAACTTTTCAGGTGTTGCCATTAAGGGATATTACAGTTTCACGCAATAAATGGATTTATAAATATCAGATTCCATCCCAAAATGAGTATTCTCATTATGAATAGGAATGTGGGTATCTCCCAGTTTGCATTGTGAAGCTCGAATGTCACAGTTACTAATTTATACTTTTAAAAACAGTTTCTGAAGGTCTTCTCCTATGTATCCCTTGAATGGTTTTAGGTAAAGTAAATTCCACATAAATCTTAACCAAAAACATGTAAAAAAACCCTCAAAAACCAAAACAACATAAAAAACAAAACAAAACAAAACAAACAGCAAGCATCATCACCAGGACAGCAGGTCTAGTCTGTTTAAATTTCAGCAATCATGATATGAAAGAAAAGGCAGTGAATTACTTACACTGTTAGTCTCCATGTCAGCTTAAAAAAAAAAAAAAATTTCCAAGTTAATTTTTCAATATCTTGACATTTTTAGTCATAATTATACACACAAAGCATGGAGACACATAGAACCTCATTCAAGTGATAACACCTGTAGGTGAGTTACCATGCTTCATGTTTGCATGATCTGTTTTAATCATCTTCGTGAGGCTGAAGAGCCTTTCTGTGCACAAGTAATTGCTGGGATCATGATCAAAACTTTCTGTGGTGTGTCCCAAGGGAGAAATTTATATGATGAACAATTACCTACAACATCCCCCACAGCTGGTTTCACTTGTTGGAAGGCAGCAGGCTGAACCTTTGGCCACCTCAATACCCCGAGTGTGAGTTGAGCACGAGGTCTTTGCTGCGGCCACGTATGACTGCTTTTGACAAGCATGCTCCAGGTTGACTATGTGTGTCATCCTAAAAAAGTTTGCTTGACCGTAAACACCCACAGGAGACCTGGGAGCAACCGGGAACATCGGTGCGCAATCCCAGCCGATTTCCTGAGGACGAAGAGCGAGCTGAGTCATGCCATAATGTGATTAATATGACAGAGGATGAGTATGCAGGCGGTGTAACAGGCCACCAAATAGCACTGGGTCTCAAGCCAGATGTGGTAAGCAAGGAATAACGAAGGCTCAAGCTTTCCTGCAACAAATGCACAACAAGAAGTCTCTTATTTGGATGAGTGACCTAATGCTAACAGGGAACAAAGCACAGCTGTGTTCCCGAAGGGCTGTGGCCTCACAGAGAGGGTCCGGGACAGTGTGTCCATGCTGTGGGAAATTTTGAGGAAAGAGGCGAGCATGCACCACCTGTGGCCACCTTCCCCGCGTCACGGCTTCCATGCAAACAACATACAAACACAGAGCTCAAAAGCTGCAATAATCTGGCAGGCTGGCTGACGGGGGAGCTAGGGCTGTGGGGTGCACCCCAGAAAGTAACCCATGAACACTTCACAGCCCCACACAGACAGGCAGTGCTGCGTAACCCAGTCCACTGTTTCTGAGTCTAGTTACTCAAGTTCTCAAAATTAATCAGAACACCCCATCAAAGCTTTCCCTTAAGCCCCCATTGTAAACTCATTCTAATTTCTCATCTCAAACAGCAGCGTTTAATCACTGTAGAAAATAAACCTGTTAAGTCAAGACAGTACACATAAATAATTAAAACCTGCAGCTTCAAATTCCATATTTCTAGATCTTAAAGCTGCCCCACAGAAAATTGCAGGCAGCAAGCCGATACAGGTCTGGTTGGTACTTCCAGAATCTTGTACAACTCAAAGAACCCCAGTCATGTCATTTTTCCCCCAGGTTCCAATACCTGTTGACCCATCAGGCACACGCCGAGCACATAGTCTGACTTTTGCCTAACATGTATGCTGACCAAAACCAACTACACAGTAAATTCTGGGAGGGGGGGAGTTATGTAGAAATATATGTGTACACAGAAGAACACTAGATTAAGTAAACTGTGGAATGAAGATGCAGCTTTGGAAGGTCATTCTGTACATGAAAACACTGTAAGAAAGTTTTAAATTATTTTTGCATATTTACTGATCAGTTCAAAAATCTTTAAATGCAGGCATTTCCTTAAAGTTTTCCAACATTTTCTTCTACCGCACAAAGAGACTGGTTTGGCACAGAAAAGCATCCTCTCAAGTATGACTTCAGTAAGCTTGAAATTGTTTGGAAAATTAATTAATTAAAAAAAGTATAAAATTATCTGTTAAGGTATGTATTCACTATGTCCCTACTGAAATGTATCTGAATACTCCGGTGACCATTTACACAATGCACAGCAGCACACGCTTTGCTTACCTTGTGTCTGGAGCAGATGTAGTATATATATTTCCCCCTTCATTAAAGGCACTCTGATTAAATGTATTTTCAGAATAGGTCACGGATGTGTCAGTTTTCCAGGAGCAATGTCTGTTCCCACAGACTATTCACTTGGTAGACAAGCCTGCTGCCCCTGAACCTGAGCAAATGATGTGGTGAAGTATTTTGCAGTCCTTAGGAGAGCGGTGAGCAGGGTACCATTCTGCTGACACCACACCGTACCTGGAAGCCCCCACATCAGCCTGCTCCTCGGTGAAGATGCAACCACAGTTCCAGGTAGTTGTTTTCCTCACCCAGCCCCTCAGAGTTGTCCAAGCTTTGGTGGGTGGTATTTTAACCACATTTAATATTTCCATCCTATCACTTCTGCTACAGGTGGTGTCACAACCAGCTCTCGGTACCATGACCTTCAGATAAAATAGCTGAGTCCTGAACTTCTGTTGTGGAAGGTCCTCCTCACCAGTTTCATGGTGTTCCAATAGAAAACCAAAAGGTTCCTCAATATCCAAGGTAAAATGGGACAATTCAGATCCAAACATCTGCACCTTTGGAAAAAAACACAGTAATTATCACAAACAAAAATCACCTCAGATAGAAAAGTAAAGCAAGTGCAAAAGGTAATTTTGTCCAAACAGAGACAGTATGGGGAGGGCCAGCTGTAAGGGCATGTACTGCTCACCCTTTTCATCGATTTGACAGCCATCAGAATGGTTGCCATAGGCTCAGTGATCTGATCTTCCTAGATGTCTAAACCAGTTTAAACATCCCCTAAGGAAAGAGATTTTAAAATAACATAGGGAGAATAAAATTAAAAGAGAGTGAAAGGAAGTGTTTCTAATTCATTAAGGTTTCTAATCATTGCAGGATGAAGGAGAAAAACAGTGTTTGAGCAGCAAAGATGGCTGTAGACAAACTTTTAACTAAAAAGCTCAACAGGGAGGAACACATCCCTGGGGAAAAGAGATGACTAAACTTCAAGCAGAGAATCTGATTACTTGGCTTTGGTATTCATTCCTACTGTTAATTAGGGTATCTCCCAACAGAAAAGCAAAGCCATGATTTAACACGGAAGACCACATGACTCACAAACTGAGGGAAATGAATGGAGCTTTGAGTGGAGATGCTGATTCTAAAACCTGTGAGCAAGTCTGAATCAATGTTGATCAGTGCCTACTTGATCAATGTTACTGATTAGTAAATTGCTTAGTTAATTTTGACAGAACTTGCTGTAGCAAAACAAAGACATGATAAGCTATTACTGACTCAAGTTACAAAGGACAGGATGAGACTAGACATTGTCTTGAGAAAACCAAGGAGTCCTTTGAAATGACCTGAAGGGGACAGTAACACTGCAGAAATTCTCCTTATGCAAAACTGAAGGTAGCTCACTGCTCAGAGCACAAATCGTTCACGATATGGGTGCAGAGACATTACCTCTGTGCTCTAGAAAAGGCAGCCTGAGGAGAACCCTTAACCAAGGCAGATGGGGAGAGTCTCCTACCTTGTACCTGACAAGGGGGGTGCCAGAACTGGCCCGGTCAGGGCAGAGCGATTTGGTCCACAGGCTCACTCGGGCAGGAGCCAAGCCAGATTTTCTACTGTGAACCTGAGACTTCTGGCTAGAGGAGGGTAGAGTAAAAGCTCTCTAACTACAAGGGATGGAAGGCAGGGCTGGCCACTAGATCCATTCTCTGTCCAGTCTGAGATAGGGATCAACTCTTGTGCCTGATCCTCTCGTTCCACCTACAATAGGTTCCCTCAAGAAGCAAAGGAAGGTTGGACTACATCCAGAGGCTCAGATCATGTTAGGCTGTTTCATTAGGTGGCATTGGTCCTGAGAGGAATACAACGATTAGAAACAGGACCTTTGTTAAAATGTCTAAACTGCCCCAACCAGAACCTAGGGCAAGCTCTGGAGGGCACCAATGTCTATGAAGTACGGAGCGCAGTAAGTGATGACCTGCTGGAAAGTGACTTCCAAGGCATCTACCAAGAGCCACAGCCAAGTAGTGTTTCAGGGCACTACTCAACTTTTCTGGGCAACTGTATCTCTGGAGCTGGTGCCAGTTTTAAAAACCCTGCGAGAGATACCAGACACCTGAGAAATTCAGGAGATCTTAAAGTGATACAGATACCAGTCTTGGACATGTTTTTTCCGAAGTTTGCGCTGAAATTATTTACAAGTACCTTTTCCCTCTTCTTTCTTTCCCCCTCATTGTAAAAAAAAATCTAGTTGAGGTGACCCAGCATAAGAATAAAGACTCTTTCAAGCAAGCATGGAATCAAGATGAATCTAAAATCTTCCAGAAGAAGTAGCTGAAGCTGTTGATGCTTCTTGCAAACTCTTGGCTTAAAACCCCTGCTCATAGAATGCTTCCCACTGCTTTTTTCCTGAACAGCATAAACACTGGCAGTACTCATCTGATGGTCAGCAGTGGCTCTGACACATCTGGAACAGCTTAAAGCCACAGCCTTTATGCAAAGCCATACCCACAAAGACAAGAAAGCAAATTTTCAGTTAAAAATAAAAGTTTGATAGCTCTGGCTCAGCTGGACAGTTAGAAGAAAGCATTCTCCAACCAAGAGTACACAACACATGTGCCAGACTGGGGAGGAGGGAAGGAGAGTACCCGTACGAACATTGCTAGGGCAGAAAGGTATTTGGCTTGAGTATCAGGTATCCGCACACCCATAGTATGAATGGTTATACAAGCAATCGCTTGAAGGAAAAGTCTGGCTTTTTTCTTCTTGGCACATAATGAAACTGAAGACAAGCAGTGTATAAATAAAACAGGGTGCTTCTGTAGTACAGAATGATAATCTCAGAAATTCATCGACTCATGCCAGGAAATACTTCTTGCACACTGCTTGCAGGTTAACAGTCTTATCGGACTGGATGCAAACAATAAAATGACAAAAGTGAGGAGGCAAAAACCAGTGTCTCCACAACAGAGCCTGCAAGGAGAAAACAATGCTTTACATGGGGAAAATATAAACTACGGCTTGACAAAAGGCTGGGTTTGGAAATAAAGGGCATATGGCCCTCGGTACCCTACGTGTTCGTGTACTGTATATATCATGTCCACAGCAATCAGTTATTGCTTGAGCAAAACCACTGAATTACAAATACTGAGAGTGGACACATACCTTGCTCAGGTCTACTGCTTGGTGAAGGAAGGGTGTCAGACATACACCAAATAACACAGACTAGTTCTTCTATTATGCTGCTCACCACTAGAGTGCAAAGTATTTCACAAACTGATCAAGTATCATTCTTCTTTCACTAAAGGGAAACCTGAGACAGTGAGCAGCAACGTGTCCAACTTACACCCCATCTTGCAAGTCCGATTCTAAGCAGCTCTTTGTGACCTTACAAAGTCCGTGTCCCACTTGTAAAACTGAGATGAATTTACATATTCCTCCTAACGTAACAGATGAGAGCTGCAACCGACATTATTCTGAAGATTAGAGACCCTAGGAGTAGCAGTTCTCATTATTTTTGGCAAGTTTTAAGAAGAAACTCCAAAAGCCCTAGTGCAGGTTCACAGCCTTGACTTCCCAGACGCCAGAGGACACCTGACAGGAGAGCCCAGCGAGAAGAGTCTCGCGAGCGGCCTGCACCAGCGCTGCTTCACCCGCACCCGAGCGATCCCACTGACCGCCGGGAAGCTCCGATGTGGAGCCGTGCTAATGCTCCTCACACCACTCGCTGCTTCAGGGGTGAAGCCACACCACAAAACCCTTCTTACGGATTCATTTGTCCAGGTCCTCTGGCTTCAGCGGCAGCAATGCTGCTTCAGAAATCTCTACTGTGTGGAAAGCTGCTTTGTTTCTCAGCATTTGACCTGGGTAACCAAATAAATGCTTATGTGGACAACTGGAAGACCAAGAAACACAGCTACAGGTACATATTCTCTTCTGCACAACTTGCGCTAGTGTAGCCAGCCATATTCAGTCTAGGGCCTCTCCTATACTTATTCTATATACCTATATATTCTATCCTAGACACCTACGTATTTTTGACATCCTGCAAAGTCTCAACACAAACACCTTTCTGAAACAGATTCCTGAAACTCCCTCCTCTAGGGAAAGTGATACAGAAGAGACCGACTAGAAATCTTAGCTTCCCATCACCTAGTGTTTTGAAACCCTTTTGAAATATTGTGCCTACATCTTCCTTACCTAAACACTCAAAATACTTAATCATATATTATGAATTATTATCTCTGCCACAAGTTTAACAGAATTAGAGCTTCATATTTAGAACACACCACTATAATAGGTAAGCTAATTCCCATAACTTTCATTTATTAATCAATTATGGATTTATTTTAGCCATGTTTAAGACAATTAACCTTCTGCATGTTTCAATGAAGCTAAAACTGCAAAGGCAATCTCGATATAAAACAGCCAAAGAACCACAGTTTTGTTCAGTGTTTTAGTTCACTAGTGATGAAAGATTCCAAAGAAGCCTAGACTAAACGTATTTTTAGGAGCAATGCTCTAGAAAATATATCATTAACAAATTAAGAAGCCTGAAATAGTTCCAGAGAGCAGCCCACTACTTTTTCAGCTTGTCACACGGCTGCTGTTGTGCCCAGCTATAACTCCTCACCAGCAGCATTTTGCCCAGCTTTCATCACCTGTAGAGTTTGCACTAATTTGCTTTAGGAGCAGTTCCCATCAGGCACAAAGGAGAAACTCTGTTTACAGGATGACAGCTACATCTGTTCCTTAGTTTGTGGTCATGGGGGCTGTGCTTAAGAATACACGTTTATGTCACAAAAATGTGTACTCGACCCACAAATGGGGAGAAAACCCGTTGAGATTTAAGTGAAAACGCACCAAATTAAGAGCTTGCTGGGATTTCAGAGTGTGACAAAACTCCTAAAGACGATAATTATCAGTCTCTGGATCTCTTTACTAAAGTATTTTAGATGCAACAGAAATGGACAGGAATAAACATGAGTTACTGATTATTTTGATCTAATTATTTATCCCTTTGACATGTGCAACAACTAAATATTTGTAAAAATATGTATTTACAGTATAGACTTAAAATAAACTCATTAAAACCACAACTTTTGCTCCAAAACAAATATAAAAAGAAAACAGTATGGTAGTTTATACCCCATTTATTAAGACAGAGCCATCTATTACTTAATACACTGGTTGGGTAGCCATAAATCACATTATTTTCTTACTATATTAAGATGCGAGACAGTTTGGCAACCAGATAACAAAGACAAATTAGGCAGGGTGGAGAAACATTTAAGCTGCAGCGGGTTAAAAAACCATCTAAGCTAGGGAGACTTAAACCAGCGCAGTTACACAAGGTGCTGGCATCGGGCGACGCGCGGTACGGCCTGCTTGCCAGCCAACTCCTCGAGTGCCCGGCGGGCCTGCCAGGGCCCCTTCAGCTGGAATGTCGGGAAAAGGTCCAGGGACCGTCTGGGTGCCGCTTTTTTGGACACCTACCAAAGAGTGCATCACCAAAGCTACAGTTTTTCTGTGAGGGGATCGCACAGGTTTTTTCGTAAGAATGAAGGCTTCTGGTAAGAAAGTTTATAGTGCAATCTGAATTAATTTGTGCCCACAGTGTCATTATTCACTCTCCCAAAACAGTTTAAATATAATCGTGTATGAATTTGCTATCTCCGTGAAGATATTACAAAGTAGTGCTTATACAGTAGGTGACTACATAGATTCAATTTTAATAAATATACCTCTTCATGCTTTATGCAAAATTACAAGTACAAAAGCAAGAAGTGACAAAGCAGATGAGTACTTTTGTATCTTCCAAAAGCTATTAAAATGCTCAGGGCTCTAAGAAGTTAATATACCTTATCGCACAGGAAGCACACTCCATGTTCAATTTAACAGCTGCTCAGAGAAGAACAAAACCTTATTCTGCTTCTTCTTTGCCAACGTGTCACCAAGTTAGAACTCCTGCTGAGAAATTAGAGGTTGCTTTACTCCAGACAAGCAAGTTTCAGATATGTTTCTGCTTGTCAGTGTAGCTGTGTGCTTAACAAAGAAGTCTGCAATATTAGCTATATCACACATATACAATTATGTATTTTTTTTCCTACTGGAGACAGGAAAAAAAAAAAAAAAAAAAAAAAGGTCAAGCACCAGGAGCTTCAGCTCTTAAATACATTGTGTTGGCCCTAAAAAATCTAGCTGATAACAGCTGTAGCTTTAATGCAAATTTACAAAATGAACATTTATTCAGCTTGAAAAGCATATACACAAGTTACCTTGATAACAATAGATTTAAAGACAGTATCAGGTTAACATCCTATTGATACACAATTTTGTAAACGGAATATTTTATAAAAATACAGAATGGCAATGCTTCATTGAAATAACAGATTTAAAATTTGCTTCTTGAAAAACTACTCTTAAATCAGTATGATCACATGCAAGCAAATTAAGTAAAAGCATCAGAATTCTTACCAGTCTTTAAATGATTGTAAGGTTAAAGTCATCAAGAGGTGTTTTGTTTGTGTTTTTTTTTTTTTTTAAAGAGTCTTGATTTAAGATGTAGTGAGATGGAGACTTCTTATAAAGCATCTTAAAGAGATCCTTACCTCATTGCAAAACATTTACTTTATGTATCTTGCTGTGAAAACATCAAGACTTATTTTTCAAAGCCCTCATCAACAGCATTTTCAATTAAAAATGAAAAAAAGTTTAAAATTCAGACATTTAAGGTCAACTGCATTTGGTAGACACAACCCATGGCAAAGCTAAATGATTCTCTGTACCTCAGTATTGCAAAAAGGGAGAGTAATTAGAGGTGTTATGCCACGCTTTGTAAGAGTTAACACTTTAAAAGCCAACCAATTTGATTTCTGTCTATTGTGAGATTTTTTTTTTTAAAAAAAAAGCAATTATGAACAAAAAAAAAAAATCTCCTTTGGTCACAGTCAGGAGACAACCATTTAGGCAAGTGTGGCAATAGCACAAAAACACACACCAATCAACTGGCTATAATGTATATATACAGCTGAAGATACAGATAAAATAGTCCTTTTATTTGCAATGCATGCCACACACAGACAGAAGTCAGAATTTTTAGAATTCTAATATATTAATGTTCACCATATTGGTGTACTTTGGGTAGCTTCAAAAAAAAGACCATGAACGCCCTCACGCTTGGAGGCATCTTAACAGATATATCTGGGCTATGTAGATTCTTGCAGACTAAGGTTTGGCACAACATTTTATGAAAATGAGACTCAAAAAGCACTTTTGTAATTTTAAATGTGAATGGTTTTAAAAGGAAACAAATAGTTATGTTAGAAAGACTCTGAGAAGATCCAGTTCATATTTTTCCATTAAATACTGTACTTCAAGGTAACTTTGAAAAAAAAAAAAAAAAAAAAAAAAAAAAAAGTAGCACGCTCTCTTCAGAGTCATCTCTCTGGTACTCAGTAACTTCTGACCTGACAGCTTCATGCAACTTTGCAGCAGAGACAAGCTTTAAAGCATTCTGAAAATGTTTTGGCTTGCACATGAAGACTAAAGCAAACCTGGTTTATATCACAGAAATTCAGAATCTTTGCTTGTTTCTAAGTAGTGCAGAACCTTGAAGTTAAATACGGACTTAAGGATGTGAGTGACTGTCAGGATGATGTCTAGCCAAGGCTTGAATTCATCTTATCAAACACCAAGGATACACAGACAGGTCTTTCAAGGACTACGCTTCTGACCTAAAGACTATCATTTTGTAAACAAGTCTTCAAATACACACAAAATTTAAAGTACATAAATGCAAGACATGGCTTTGTAACTTATTTTTTTAGAAAAAATTTCATTCTGACAAGTAAATTATCTGGACAAGTGCCTACACGTTCTTAAGAGTATTTTCAGAAGAATTACGCCTTTAAAACTGATGAAAAACCCTAACCCACAGACCCTCATATATAGTCAAAATATAGCATCATTACTTTTCTCCAATTCCACAGTAACATAGATTTCTAAGAAGATTTTGATTTAATGCCCTCATTTTAAAAATTGTAATTCTGTTCTACAATGATCCACTCAGAGCAAAAAACCTCCATGCACTATATGTCAATGTATTGATGACTGTTTTATTTACATAAAAATTTTCCAATGTTAGATAACATGTTATATGGAAATTACAATTATTTCAATTTCCCAATCTTGGTAAACTGGAGCAGTTGCTGACTTTCTAAAACAACAATGTATTTATACGCAACAAAACCACCAAGTTGTGCTAAGTATTCAAAGATCTTAATTCCCACATAGTGCCAACACCCTGTTCTTTTCAAATATGGTCAAAGATCTTCATAAGATTTTTTTCAAAATAATTTACTGAGTAAGCCCTTTCTATAGCCCTTTCTGCAGAAATGAGAATTGTCTCGAAAGAACACTTTATAAGACTGAGGCTCAAATACTTATCTGCCATATAACCAAATTAGCCTGGAATCATGCTGGCATACATTGAATCCTACTGTTAAAAAAAAAAAAAAAAAAAAATCAATGGTTTGTGCACATCTTTTGAAGACAACATGTATAAGACTTTCCAAACAAAATCATAAGGTTAAAGTTAAAGCTTATTCCTCGAACAGAAATGAAGGATCAACTACTTGCATTCTCAACATACTCTTTTAGTGCCTTTAGAACCATAAATGTATTCATTAATAAACACACTGCAACTCGAGTAGTCAACGCTCAAGTTGACTATAATTTAAAAAGTGATTATTTTTAGCATAACCACACTAGCAAGTTACTCTGTATATTTCAGTGAAGCAAAGCTTTAAAAAAAGTTGTAGAGAAATAGATCATTCATTTTTTGTGTGTTTTAAGGGAGCAATAAATCCTCTCCATAAAGATTATTTACACAAATGCAAGAGCAAGCTTTCTAAGATAAGGGTTTGGGGTTTTTATTTTTTTTTTTTTCCCAAAGATTCCACCACATGATAAAAAATTAAATGCACGTGTATTCCTGACCACATTGATAATGTCACATCTAGAATCTCATCAGCTAGTTTATGACAAGCAACTGCAACGGTGTAAACAAAAACAGGTCCCTACACTGGGACAAAGTTTGGTTGCAGGTTGACTGTATGATACTAAGATTGAAAGTAAGATTTAAAGTAAACTTATCTGGAAGTCAGATCCAACTGAGGGAACAGTGAAAACGACACAGTGAAGGTACACTTAGGTGCAATTTCATGCTGGTGACTTTTTTTTTTTTCCTCTTTTTATGCTTAGAGCAGATTTTAAACCAGGAGTTGCATATCCAATGACACACACACAATTCAAAACTTAAGTGACCATTAGCACATTTGTACACATACTTACATAAACTTCGTATTTACATATTCTAAACAAAGTTCCATTTTAACAGTTGAAGTCTTTTAACACATGAAAGAAGATAAGCTAGTACAAAGAATGCATAACGGGATCACAAATTTTCCACAAGCATATAAACACATGTTTTAAAGTGCTTTCTGGGTGCTTCAGATTAACTCCTTGCAGTATGAGCTTCTACGTAGTGCTGTTCCAGTCATTACAAAATTATTTGAATCATTCCCCTTCAGGTGCATTGTGAGTTCAAGAAAAATGACGACAATGTTGATGTAAAAGTTTTAGGCTTCACCAACATAAACATATACATAAGTTCAGATGAAGTTGTCAAATACTTTGGTTTATCATAGCTTGGGATAAATATTTGATAGAACGGAAATTGCACCTCTCCACTCTTAAGTTTTTTTACTAAAAAAATACTCCAACATAAATTGACAGTATTCTTTGGTAAAAACAGGACATTTGGCCAGTTTGTGTGTACATGTATTTATTAAAATAGTCTAAAAGTGAACAAATGCCACTGCTGTACTGTCAATTTACAGGAATAACCATTCCTTACTCAGTGGGGAGTATCAAAACATCAAGCTTAGCAGTTAGCTATATAACAAGCTGAAACACCTTCAGCAACCATTACAGGGGATCAATAATGTTTTAGAGTACTTGTTGCTTAACATTTATCCTTTACATTACAAAAACTGTAAAATGCTCTATGCCTGCAGACAAGTCCATTACTTTGCAGTGACTACAGAAATATTATTCGATGGTGTACACTGTTAGGTTTCTGACAAGCATGTAACAAAAACCAGGAATATGGTGTGCTGACCAACCAATATTCAACTGCACAGTATTTGTGCATTACCTATACTAAGTACTAAGAAAAGCCTATTAAAAATGCAGTTATCTGCTACACGTTACGTGAATATATAAAAACAGAGCAGATATACAAGTATAACACTGAACATACCGTACTTTATTAGCACAAAAAGCCAGAACAAGGCACAGCAAGCAGAAAAATACATCAATAGAAGGGTTAGTGTAGCATACAAGAATAACGTTTATTGTACTTGCAGCCAAAATGTTCCCTACCTCGCACAGGTCACTGCCATAGAGAAGTAAGTAATAACATACTGTAGCAGCTGGTAAAGAAACTAGAGAGCACTCATAATTGGTACAAAACATTAAACAGGGGTCAGGGCATTCCAACAAAATTTTAGTGCAAAAATGTCTAAGACAGAACTATTTTAAGTTCCATCTCCCATTAAATAAGCAAACAGAACTTAGAATCCTGTTTCCAAGTAATCTGTTGAAACTATAATCAGTGCATTTTACTTTAAAACATTTTTTTAAAAGCGCAAATGGAAAGATATTTACAAATAAAGTGTAGCAGTACCTCTGAAACATGACATTTATTTCAGATACGTCAGATTTAGTATTCTGATTATAATAATTCAACCACTTGTAATTTTTGCCATAAAAATATCAGACGACTTTAAACAATTCAACATTTTTTTCTCTTCACTATTACCTTCCATTGTAAGTTACTAGCAGTCAGGCCACCAAGTTCTGTCTTAGAAAAAATTGCAACCTTTTGTTTCATGGCAATAATCTAATCCTGTGTCCTGTCACTGAATCAGTAATTCACACTGGAAGGTATTTAACTGTCCAAGACAGTTTATTACTTTTGCTAACAATGCCACTTAAATCTCCAAGTGTTTAAAATAGAATTACAGTACTGAGCAGGCATATTCAAGTCTTAATGATTAGGAAACCTTATACACTGAGAAAAGCATGATTCATCTGTTAGCATCAAAGCACCATTAACTCTTAATGGACTGCTTCTAATGAACTGCTCTTCATTACTCACTAGTATTTGGAAACTTGTCTGTGAGCTAAATTAGTACTTTGAGTAGTGGAAAGTTTTCAAGAAAATTTTAAAAAAATACTTCAAATACTAGCAAAAATGCTCCTCTAATAAAGCCTTTCTTTACTAGCATTACATGAATGCCCTATGGAAAATGCCTCATAGTTTCTTCATCCAATTACTACAGTTATAAAAGGGAAAAAGTATTTAGAAATTAGCAAAAATATTTTCATTAGGCCTTAATGAAAAACGTGCAGAATTGTATCTGCTTGTTGTTTCCAAGAGGCATCACAACTTAGTTTGATTAACAGCAGGCAGCATCTGACAGGATACTAACACTCAGCTTAAATAGGATATTGCAGAAAAGCTAGACATTGTTGGTGAGCTTGCTGCAGTTAAACTGTAACACACAAAAAAAAGCATATTCTAGAAGCTTATTCTGATTTTCGTTTACTTGTTTTTTATAGGTTCCCGCTCCAGCCATCGCACCCTGACTTTTTGTTTATAGTGATATTCCTTTAGAAAGTCTTGCAACATTGAGGGTAGAGGAAGGTCATCAATTCCATCATACGTAGTGCACCTGCAGATTACTGCCCGGCAGATATACTGCAGACTAAAGGGGAAAGTCCTGTTCAGAGATACAGTAAGCAATGGTTCAAAGAACATGCAAGAGCTAGGGTCTTTGTAGTGTTCCAGAAGCCCTGTAACAGTGGAGGAGTGAAACACACAGGGATCATGGGCATCGAAACTAAAGTTGTGATTCCACTGCTCAATGCGTGCATGTAGCGATCGGTTGTAACGACGGAAGCTCACAGAGAAGAGGTAGTCCTCTTGCGCAGAGTCCCTGAGCAAAAAAGTGCCTTCGGGTTTCCCCTCCAGAAGTGCTTCTGCTTCATAGCGGTCCATCACACCCCAGTAACACGGGTTACCTGTGATCTGAAGTAAGTCTGGCACAAGGCAATGGATGTAATCGATTTGAGTATGCACTTTCCAAGCCCCCTGCCTGCCAATATGGCCGTGGCTCTCTCCAGACATCTGACGCTGCTTCTGCCTGCGTGACTGCAGACAAAGCGTTGTTGTGTCCTCTTCAGAGTCACAGTTCCCTGGAGGTGTTATGTTTTTGTCCCCCGTCAGCTCAGTCATACCAGGGGCTAACTTTGGTCCCAGTTTATACAACGGATTAACCTGTGCTGTAGCTTCAAAAGTATGTATTTGGGCATTGGGAGGGGGATCAACCCCTTCTTCAATACTAAGTCTACGCCTCTCTCTGAGCCTGTCTTCTTCATCTTCTGTGGAAACCAAGGAAGGATCAAACGTGTCAAAAAAAGTTGAATGAGGACTCACAGGCGCTGTGTGTTGTTTAATCAGATGCCACTTCTGGGCCAGATCGGAGCCTGCAGGAAAAGGACATTTCTCAAGCATCAGTTCAGAGAGATGGATCTTTCTTTTGTTAGAAAACAGAGGTTTGGACTGTTTGCTGTAAGTTCTCATGGGAAAACACAGCCCAACAGTATCTTGTAGACGCTGTCGCAGAGAACGGCTACCTACTGTCCTGTTTGATACTGCATCTGTATCATGGACAGAACTCACCCCATACCTTCTCTCCCTCCTTTGCAAACCACTTCGTGTTCTACCAAATCTTTTTTCGGTATCCAAGGAGCTCTGGGTTTTGGTAGAGCAGGAATGCTTCTTCTTCCCACCCCAAGGAGCATGCCGAGAATAAGAGTCCCTTCGAGCAAGTCTAGCTCCAGTGGTGACACACGAGTCATTCTCCTTCTCAATGCTTATTTCAACAATCTGAGGAATTTCTGTGACACAGTTTTGGTTCCGCCTTGCTGAATTCTTTGAAGGACTTAAACCTAATTGCAAAGCAATGTTTTCTCTCAAAGGGCTGCTGGGTTGCTGTTGAGCCAACTCAGTTATTTGGATAGCTTTCTCTTTAGCAGATGAGCAACTATTGGAGTTCACAACTACATTTTCATTTTGGCTTCCACCCTCATGACTGAAGAGATTCTGGCACCTGTATTTGAAATTGTTCCACATCTTTCCCACTTTATCCATGGATTACGTTATCTAAATTCAAGAGAAGAAATATTAAAATAAAAATACAGTTTAAAAAAATGAGGATACATCTTCAGTTATCAGTTAAGTTACAGACACAAGATGACTGTTACCTGGGCACACTACATTTGAAAAAGTGCCCTAGTGGTTGTATGGTTATGTGAAAGTGCCATGCATCACACCGTTTCAATATTTAGAAAAATGACCACAAATAAAATGTTTCAGAAATTACAAACATTTTATTTACAAGCAGGCCCTCCCATTTTTTCTGTAAGTACATAGGTAGGTCTGCATAGTTGTATTTGATGAACAGGAAATACGCAATCTAAAATCCTTCATTTTTGGAAGAATTTTTAAGCCATGTGTAAGGTATGACTCCCTGATAAGCTTCCAATAAGCAGCAGTAAAACAAATCCTGAAAAAGAACTATTCAAGTCACTACAAACTATGAGAGTAGTTAGTGAAATCCAACAAGTGCACTGCAAATGTCCAGACACACCATCTAAAAATAAAAGCTCCAGCCACAGGTCAGATAAATTCCAAGCTATAGCTGACATAATTTTAAAAAATAGCACAAAAATAAGAATTTGGGGGTGTGGGGGAAGCATTCAGCATTCTTAGATGAGGCAATCACCAAAAGACAGGGAAAGGCAGTAAGATATCAGCAAAATTTTAGAATTATAGTCTTTGATATATTAATAAAAGCCATACATATGAAACAGCAAAATAAATTAAAAAAAACAACCCAACCCAAACAAACTGTCTGGCTTTATTACTTAAGATAAAAAGGAATGAAAAAGCCCAAGGAGCTTTTCTATCTTTAGTAGGAGCACTTAAAAAGAAAGCAGCTCTGCAGCAGTAACATGATGACAGTGAATCATGAAGATACAGTACAAAGATAAAAACATTAGCAGTGTGTATTCTGCAACTACCTCTTTAGAAGCAGAGTTTGATAATTGGAATAAGACTGCCAAAAACACAGGACTGCCCTAGGACAGAGAAAAACAGGCTAATTCTGTACTAAAAAAAGTCAGGCAGTGCCAAGCTAAATTAGATCTAATTAAGTTCTGAGAGAAGTGCTAAACTTAAAGGACTAAAACATGCCATTTTATCTAACTTAACTCTTAATGGAAACTGCTCCGCTATTTAGAAACATTATTTTGAAGCAACATTCCTCTGTTGCTGCAGTTCTTTTTTGTTCACAGCTAGAAAGGAATCTGAAGCAGTGATTGAATGTACTGGGACTCATAAAATAATGTGGACAGTAAACAAGTAAGCAATACTCTAGCGATCCAGTCTAGAAGTCCCTTAAGATAGAAGCATGGCTGTAAGCCCATGACTTTATAGTAGAATCCACTGAGACTGGGGAAAAGTCAGAGATACAGCTTACATGACAGTCACGAAAGGATAATGAACATGAAACATCTAACTGTTATAGGAACAGAAAGCAAAAGCAGCAGAAGCTTTCTTCCCAATCTCCTCCTCAGACACTTCAGCAAACCCAGCAGGCTGGTATCTACATCCAGCTGCATAAAATAAAATGTTAAGAACTTAGTGTAGATGCAGGGCAGTGGGGGGGGAAAGCAGGGAAATCAGGCCTTACCAGTCTCTGGAGATTACCAGTATAAATTACCTATAACTCAGTGCTAATGTCAATCCAAACAACACCCAAGTAGTTATTAAGGAGGGAGACTCTTGCAGAGAAATGTTACACATAGAAGATGCTATAGAGTTCTGTGCATATGTAAAAGTGAAAGAGTGTAAGCGTGAAGGAGTGCAAGCAAATAAGCAAGGAATGTCTTCCTGATTAAAAAAAAAAAATCCTGAATTTGTTTTTTCTGGAGCTGTCTGGACCAAGCTGGGGGACTGGGAACATTCTAAGAGCAGCAGAACTAATAAAGTCAGATCACATACAGATTTGTAGGAACCATACAACCATGTATCATGCCATCACAATAATCATAGCTGTTTCCCGTGTCTCAGAATATCCACACTGACCAGGAGGCAGCATATGTTTGCTGGCTGCCAGCCTATCAACACAGTATATATAAGGTTGACTTCTACCCACTTTTCTCAAGTTGTACATATCTTTCTTTTCCTAGTCACAGAGATGTTTAAAATTTTGGGGACGGGAAAAAGAAGAGAGTATATAGCCTCTGTTCCCTTGGGAAATCAGGTTAGAAACAATACACATCCTTTTGACAATGAACTGGAATTACTTCTGTAACCAGTCATACACTATTCAGTGGTCTTTTATTCTAAAACTGCTCATTATTGCTCTTCCTTTGCACTATTAGTCTAAAATGCCTTTAGACTGTTAGATGTGTGGAAAGTTCTCTATGCTTGACCAGAAAGCTTCAAGAACAAATTAAAACCAACAAACTTCCAACCCACAAAACCCCTACCATACTGGCTTGACAGACTGTACTTCTAAAAAGTTATATTTGAAAGGTTAACTACTTTTTGTCATACACAAAAGAATACAGATACCCTTCTTACCCAGAAAAGCATACAAGTCTCTGTATCTTGTCTTGAGAATACACCTCAACATGAACTTGCCAGTTTCCTTCTCTGAGTTGCGGACATGGTTACTACAAAGAGAAAAACGGTATTTTTGTTAGTTGTTAGAATACCCTTTAATTTAGATATTTACAATTAGTCACTGGTATCAAAGGGATATCATACTAAATGTATCTTAAATGTGTGCATGGAGCTGCCTGCTCCTTATGTATTTTTAATGCATATTAACATAAACAAAAAGCTTCACAGAACTTTTTTTCATCCATTAACAACATTTGTCAAATAAAGAGTTCATGAGAGGACCTTCAAATGAAGCTTTTGAGAACCAAGAGTGAAAACACAGCATCTGAAGTGCCAGGCACAATGGGCATACTCAGGCCTGTAAAAATGGTTTCCCCACATTTTGGTCTCAAGTCCAAAGCAGTGGTTCCCAAGTTGTGGTTGGCAGTACTGGCAGATCACCTCATACTGCCTCTCCTCCTTGTTTCCAGCTGCTACATCACATCAAAAGGCAGCTAAAAATACACTTTTCTAATATTACTTTTCCAGGTAAGCAACTGCTGCACTTGCCACAAGGATGTTACATGATTGTGAAGCAAGAGGAATATGAACCATGATTCTAAAAATGGGAAAGTGGAATACAAGACAAGTTCTTTATTAAAAGAGTAGGTCAGCACTTCCCTAAAATAATCATCATTGTTTTTCAGAAATCCAAGAGGAGTTGAGGGATTTAGTATGCTCATACCACTGTCAGAAATCTAACAGTAAGAGAACAGAGGATAATAATTTGCTTCTCCACACTAGAAACAAACCCAGGACAGCAGTAAGAGTTAACAGAAAACACCGAGAACTTATGTTAAAGCTTTACATGCAGAACGGGAAGAAAAAAATATTCAAATATGATGCATATTTACTGGAATAAAAAACTGTGGGGCTGAGCAATTACTAGGTGAATATTAAAAGTTAATACTTCCTGGCAGAAACTATAGTGCAATGTCAGAAAAGTACTAAACATTATTAATTTCCATTCACCTCTGGAAACACTAAAATTGCTGAAACGCTTTTAAAGTTAGGCCATACTACTACTATTGAAAGATTCCATAAAAGTAACCTTTCCAGAGAACAACACAGTTACAAGTACAAAATCTTAGTACAACACAAAGATAAAAGCAAAAGTAAAGTTCTTTTTCAGCTTTAATGTTTACACCGATTTCTTTTTTCCCCATTCCCCATTTCCTAGCAAGTCTACAAGCACAAGACAGTAAAACCTACTACAATTGGTTCAGAGCAAGGCATTCACTGACCGTACAAAAGGTGAAGTTTCTAGAGTAAGGGCTATACAACTTTCAATAAAGCTTTACTTAAAAACATCAGGTCATTCATGCCCCTGAAGAAATACCTGTATTCCAAATAAACCCAGTAATGCTGTTTTACTGGGCACAGGTGGCACAGGGGCAGCATGCTAACCATTTGAACTGATTAAAAACACCAAAAGGACATTGAAGCTTCTCTTGAAATTTCATGCTTAATGGTACTTATCTCAACTTCATAAATCACTATTATTCCTCAGTTCTGCTCAGAAACATGAACAGTCAATGTACCACCTATCAGGTCACCATTGCTAGCCTGCTGACACAGCCTGTCAGACAAGCTGCCGGGTGGCTCCGGGAGGGAACAGTTGCTTTGGGAACCATCCTTCACTAATGGAAAACAGCTTCTTGAATTTGGGTGACTGTCTCAGTTAAACCTCGCAACCTGGAGTTAGAATAAAACTTGAGTCATTGGTAAAGTATTTAATATTCCATCTAGTAATTTTAAATTAGTTTAAACCAATGTGCAACAGATGTGTGGTTTCACAGATTTCTTGCGGCAGTGCTAAGGTTGACAAAACACCAAGTACTTCTGATCTGGCCCTACAGCCACCCTGGTTTTAAGAAGGAGCACTGCAAGTGGTTATTTTATCCTAAACGTAATTCCACCAAAATCCACAAAGTGAATTAATCTGTAGATTTTCTAAGAAAAAGTGAAGCTATACTAATGTTCCTAAAACAATCTTTTTTTCAACTAAAAATGATTCCTATCTACTTTAAACTAGCGTAAGTTATCTTAAAAAAATAACAGGTAGTAAGCACTCTACAGGGCCTACAGCAGCAATGAGCAGTAGTATCTTAACACTATATTCCCATTTGCAGTAAACTTAGAGACATTCAAAGCCATGAAGTTTGCCTGAGTGTAGTCCTCAAGTATTCTGAGTGTACAAATGATAAAACTACAAAGAGAGCTAGGAAAACCATTTGTGTAGAATGATTTAAATAAAGACAACCGTTAAAACCTGTTTGTAATCCTGAAATACCACATATTCATAGACTACTGTGAAAACTCAGACCACTTGTTCCAGAAGTATCACAAGATCTAGCCGGAGCTTTCTCCCTGTGACTTCCTAGGAGGAACATTCAAAGCCAAGGTTGTGCTCTGTCCTGAAGATAATACATTTGTTTCATTCTCAGAGTGTTACCTAATCTAAAATTTAGTTGATATGGTAAATTACATTAAAAATATTAACTCCTCAAAACGTACCATCTTCACAAAAACTGATATCCTGCATCATGTATGACAACTTATGAAGCAGGTATGGTATGCTTATAAGAATCTACAAGATTCTTTGTTTTGTTATTTTCACATGATGATAGCTTCAAAACATTGAAAGATAACAAGGACAAAACATTGAAGGAAAACAAAACCAGACAGATCTTACAAGTTAAGAAAACAATATCCTGAAAGGGGAGGGAAAAGAGGGGAGGGGGAGAAATCAGTCTCCCTGTTCCTTGCACACTGTTTAGTTCAGTGCCAGCAGGGGCACACACAGGCAAGCAGGCTAACAGAGTCAGGGACACTGGTGCACATCACCTTGCACCATGAAGGCAGAAGTAAAAGGAATGGAGGGAGACCACTTCCATTTGGATGGGTCCTTATTTTAAAATGACTCAGCGACAAAAGACTCCATTATTAAAGACATTTGCTTCTATCAACCTCTTCAGCAAGCATACTTTAATGTCCTATTTGCACACTGTCAAATGCCTGCTATAGGCTGGTGCTCCTAGGGATGCACTAACAAAGCTGCTCACATAAGCACTCCTCAACCTTATTCAGTCAAAATGAATAAGGCTGGTAAACACCTACTGTTCAAAGTAAGGCACTTGAGGAAGGAAGAAAGAAAAATACTAAGGATTACAAAGCAACTTCCTCCCTTCCAATACACATTCCAGAAATAACGAATTACTACTGTAATACTAGAGACAACATTTTTTAAAAAACAAGGAATATGTTGGCTTAAGTAGAACCATGCATTTTTCTACACGCAGACAAAAATGCACTCACTGAAGACAGCTTGAAGAACTGATTTGAGGTGCTGGGAGGAAGAAGTGGCTGTCATTTTTTTTTAACTAGACAAGGTAAAAGGGACCAAGTGCCTCAAGTGTTGATGACAGCCTTATTATGGCAAAGTACTACTGTTCTTTTCCTAGCAGGCTCTGGTAATTTAGAAGTGTGGTTGCATAGGGAGAAAAATCTAAAGGTCTGAACCCCCAAATCAAAACTCCAACCTTCCAAGAAAGGTGAAGGATACCAAGCTGTAATTCCAATAACACATAGAATTAGTGTAAATCAGCACTGCAACCATAAGAAAAGTCATCAGCCTCTTCCTGGCCACCTGTGCTGGTGCAGGAGGTGGTCTGTACACCATATGGCTGCTCAGCCAACCAGCTCAAGGAACTGATCCAGACTAAAATGAAATCTCAGAAAAAGTCTCAGTCATTTACTGCATCTGGTTTATTACTTCTGTATAAACATTCATGTTAACACAAGGGAGTAGCGGATGAGGAGGGAGGAAGCAGCAACCAGGGCAAGACTGCTTCCTTCCACAGCAGGACTGGTTAGTTCTGCCCACCCTAGTAAGACCTTAGACAGCTACTTTGAAGAGAAATCTCAATTTGAAGCTTACATATTAATCAACTGTGCGGCTCTGGCTATGACGAGAGAGATTAGGACTCCAAGCTGCTGCTTTGAACATTCATGTTGACAGTTCAGCCACTGAAAACATGTACTTCAAAAATAAAATGCTGAGTTGGCTTGGTGCACCCTGCTAAAACACAGAGAAAACTATGAGTTTCAAGGACTTAAGCTGGCAGACTGTCAAGTCAAAGAAAAATAATGATATTTTTCCATTGTTCCAACCTGAAAGTAAGTAGTAATCTCCTCCCCCTCCCTGGTGCAGACTCAAAATGAGCAAAAAGAAATCTTAGCTTGGACAGCTGATGTTCTGCCACTTTCTTTCCCAGCAGCTACAACATTGGTAGTTCCGAACATCAGTTCAAAAATATTGTTCCAAGATATTTTGAACAGTGGGATACATCCCTGTAGCCCCTTACTAAGATTAAGTGTTCAAAAAGGACAGTGTCGGGACTATGGGTGTTCACATGTTACATTAGAAAATACTGTACAGCTGCCATCCATTTATTTTCTGTTCAGAAAATGTACAATTCCAGAAACAAAAAAACCCATCAATTCAAGAACAGAACACGGACAACACTGAACCAAAAATAAGGAGACAGTTGTTTCTGAAGTACTCTTTTCCCTGTACTTACACAAGTCTAGTGGATAATAATACAACCATCATGCACAATGCTAGTATTTCTAATTATATAAGGAACACAGAACTACACATAGCAAGCACAAGTTTCATACATTAATACAAAAATAATGTTACACAGATCTGCTGAGAACTCCACATACTGGTAGATATCTATGGTAAAAGCTCAACAAATTCAAGACAATTATGTATATTAATTCCAAGTAAAGACTTCCTCAAATCATTTAGGCAGTATCCTGGTGGCCACTCATCGTCACATACAATCCACACAAGCAACATTAAATGGAAGCAGTTTCCTTTAAATTACCTCCACACACCTTAAGTAGGCAACTCATAACTTCATCTTATCATTTGAAAAGGTAAAAGAAAAAGCGTTAAGTTAGCAAAGTAAGGTTCCCACTATGGAAGAGAACCCTAGGTGAC